TATTAATTAAAAAAACTGAAATGCGCTTTTAAAAGGTGATTACATTAATTATTACCTTGTAAAATTATACACACAAAAAAATAATATTGACTTCCCAAAACTGACATGTTTTTCCTTAGTTTTCGTCATTGCAGATAATGCGACTGAAAGATATGTCTTATCTCAAAAGGTCTACTTTGTTGCCTGTAATAATCAAATTGGGGTAAATGGAAGTATGTAAAAGCTACACCAGCATAACCTAATTTAAAAAATAAAAAAATAAAATTGTATATTTGAATTCCAAAATGGAAAGTACCTTTTTTTTTTCCTGACAATTTACCACAAAATACATCGTAGTCTTGAGAATAGTGTGATACTATATAGTTGAAAATAATCTTTTCAGTGTTGGTTTTATAAACTTTTGGGATCAAAATCGTTGCTTTGCGGAGACAATCGCGACAAAGTTAAAAACCTCCAAAATCTAGTAAAGAAAGCTAAGATACTGGAAATAGAATGTGATAGTTACCGAAGAGACCAAACCCAAAACCGAAGAGAAAATTTGTCAAACGAAAGAAGTTTAAGAAATAGAAAAACGTCAAATATTTTATGAACTTTACGATTATGGAAGTACCATGTATAGTGTAGTTTAATTTTAAATGTAAATAGGTGGTGACTGGTTACAAAAAAGAATAATTTTTTTTTTTCTCAAAGCATAAATAAAAAATTATTTTTATGTATATTTATTTATATCAGTTAAATCAATTAAATCGATTGAAACCTGTGATCGCATACAATAAGTAATAAAAAATAAAAAAAATAAATTAAAAGTGAATACTAAAAAAGTTGTAGCAGATGAAAAATAAAAAAAAAAATAAAAATAAAAAATAAAAAATAAAAAAAAATAAAGCCCCTTAATCGAGATTTATCACGTGATACATATTTTTAATAAGATTTTATTTTTGTTTCAAAGAAAGTATATATACTTTTAACATCATCAATACTTCAGTCCAAATTACAAAACCATAATTATTTATTATATATTAATATATACGAAAAAAAAAATCGAAGAGCTGAAAAAATATAAAAATCCATCAAAATAACACTATAAATATTGCATCTTTATTCTTTTCAAATAAAGCTATGGAATATAATATTATTTCACAGTTACCTGACAATTGGATTAAAGAAGCTATTTTTAAAGGTCATATTAAATATTATGAATACAATTATTTTAGCAATTTTCAAGAGGTTGGAAGAGGAGGATTCGGAATAGTCTATCGTGCCAATTGGAAAAAATTAAACAAATATTTTGCACTTAGATCTTTTAACTCCAATATGATCACAATTGAAGAAATCGTTCACGAGGTAAATATGATCTAAAATTCTACACTCACGTGATCATAGTAATAATATATTTGACAATGTTTTTTTTCATGATGAAATTTATCATATGGATAATTTTTGTAATTTTCATATAGATTAAACTTCAACGAAAAGTTGATTTTCATGATAATATTATTCGCTTTCATGGCATAACTTCCGATCTAGGTATAATAATAATTACTATTGAAATTTTAAAATTTAAAGTAAAAATGTTGTAACTAAAGGTTTTATTTTTTTAATTAGAAAATCGAAATGATCGTTCAAAATATTTGTTAGTAATGGAATATGCTGATGGAGGTACTCTTCGAAAGCATTTAAAGAAAATCTTTAATGAGCTTACCTGGAACGATAAATACGATTTGGCATTTCAATTGGCTAGTGCTGTATCATGCTTACATGATGAAGGAATTGTTCATCGTGATTTGGTAAATAATTTTATGTTGCTTTTATTAAAAATATTGTTAAAAATATTAACAATTTTTATATAAATAAATAGCATTCCAACAATATATTTGTTCACCGAAATTGTATAAAACTGGGGGATTTTGGGTTATCAAAAGGAATTGAAGAAGAAACTGAATCAGAAAAAGATTTTGGTATGATTCCCTATGTTGACCCAAAAAAGTTTAACTCATCTCAATCATATAAACTAAACGAAAAAAGTGATGTCTACGGTGTTGGCGTGCTTTTATGGGAGATATCAAGTGGATATGCTCCTTTTTATAATCAAAATTATGATTTCGACCTAATGAATAGTATTTCGAAAGGTCGCAGAGAAAAAATTATTCCTGATACTCCCGATGATTATGTAAAAGTTTATACTGGTAAATATATTTATTAAATTCTATTATGTTTATAACAATATTTTTTGACCATTCAGTTTACTTTTTAGAATGTTGGAATTATGAACCAGAAAATCGTCCAGATATGAGTAAAGTAGTTGAAGCAGTTGGTAAATTAAAAGCAAACACTAACCTTGCGGATAATGAGCAAACTGGCGATTATAATTTAAATGTCCAATTATCGGAACAACAACTTGATAATAAAAATTCTTCACCACATTCATTATATAGTGAATTATCTCAACTTATACAAAACTTTGATAAGATGAATTTGAAATAATGAACCTATTTTTATAAGAAAAGAATTATCGACAGGTATTTTTTGTCATCTCTCCATTACACTTTTGAAACTTGTTAAATATTCTGTCTGAACTTCCACTACATAAAATTTTTTAATTATCTTGTTATATAGAGTAAGAATTTTATTTTTTCAATGCTCACAAAAAAAATATATATATATATAAAAATAAAAATATCGTTTCGAATAACATGTGGCGCAGTAAATTATTCGAGTGTTTTTTGCCTATTGATTCTTTCCATTCTTTTTTCGTATGCAATAGAACTTTTTCCGGATGCTATTGTGATCAAATTAGATTATACTGCAGCCTTATCTTCATCTTAAAGCTCTAGCTCTTTTTTAAGATTATATAAAGTCACCAAATCAAAATAACAATGATATCTTTCTTTTGTCAATCTTGTAGAGTAAAAAGTTACTATTTTCTTATCTATATATTTCGGTGGATAACTCTTTGATTAAATTAGTCAATATTGGAAGTTTTATCATTAGTTTAAGTAACTACTTCTCTCGTTCAAGATAAAATAACTTTATTTATAATAACGGCAACTATGAGATCGTGACCAAAGGTCACGGCTGCCCTATATTTTCACGTTCGAAGAAAATTTGTATTCTTTCTAACTTGGGATGCTACACATTTGATATTATATCGAAATGGTAGATACCGTAAATTTTTTGATTGGTTGGATAAATGCAATCCATTGAATTTTTATCATCAATACGAAAAATAAAAAGATCATAAATCTTTCGAGCCTCTGGTTTCTTTCGGAGAGCATTTTTGGTAACCTCTTTGGGAAGCTGATCTTTAACACCCTCTTTTGAGCCTCATTCACAGGTTTGCTTGTAATGGTTAAAATGTTTTCTCTCCAAAGTAATAATAGTACCTCAAAGAACTCATTTTTATTTAGTACTTTCAGCATTGGAAATTTTTAAATAAAAAAAAAAAATTGAAATGAAATTTTCTAATATCATTACGAAATCCTCTTTTATTAAGGTATTATTATTCATAATGAATTCGAGTTCATATAATACAAAATTCTATGATCAAGTTATACATTATGTTTTCATGAATGCAAAAAGAATAGGCTCTATATTGTTTATTCATTAAAATATTAAACACCTCCAAGTTACCTACATATTGATTATATGATCGCGAACACGAATTTATTCCTTGAATCCGTATGTACTCCGTTGGAAGTCAGGTTGATCCGAAATAGTCTGGCACTTACAAACATATTGTCGAGAAAAGTTTTTTGTTTCATAATATCGTTCGAAAGAATCAATTCTCATAATGGATTATAGATCACAAGAATATTATTTGATTTCAAATGACTTCAATGACATCATTTATATAAATTTTAAAGTTTAAAATGACTTATAATTTTTAAAAGATAAAATCTCGAATGGTTTATTAATTAATCATGTAATAAAGAAAAATAAATATTCGTTAATTATGCATCCTATTCAACTAAATTTTACTAGAACCACCGTTTCTGCTACTATAATTATTGCAGAAATTCCCATCCATTCATTTATTCTATCTAGTGTATAACTATATGTAGGAATGATTTTTCTTTTCTTTGATTAAATAAAGCCATGAACTCTACCCATATAGTTTCTACTTCATCAGAATATTCTACGTCACGAAGTATAACAAACAGTTCTCAAGCATTTTATTAATTACTCTAAAAGCATTTGTTTTAAACACTTTTCAAGTAGATTCCAACGGACATACAGTATATTAAAAATACAATAATCTATAAATTTAAAAAACCATGAAAAAATTTTTTTATACCACCACTTTTTTTTAAATTTCCAATTGAACCTTGATTAGGTAGGTTAATTATAATTTTTTCACTAAAATTAAATAATTAAAAAAAAAAAAAAAATAACTAATAAATGAAAGAATTAGTTTTAAAAAAGGTTAAATAATTTTATTCATCTTCCATTAAATACAAACTTTTCTAGTATATTTCATTAATTAATAAAAATTATAATTAATAAAAATAAATATTACAAAAGGTAAAATGTAAAATACTTATTATATCTCATGATTCAAGATTTTAAAAAAGCCATTTCTTTTACTTTACAAATTTATTTAAAATCATATTAATTTCTTTAAGAGATCATAATAAACAGATATTCAAATGTTATAAAATTTTTTTTGTATTTGGATTTGTAAATATATGAATTGTCAATAATATTAGTAATACAATTTCAGAACATATACTTTATAACATTTTTAAAGTATATATAACTTGTATCTTTTGACACATATCTACTACTTATCATTAAAAGAATTTATTATTTTACAATAAATTAGTTTTATTTACATTTCTCTCAGGTGATTGTCATGAACATTTCTAATTAATATGATTACGCATGAAAATCATTATTAAAAAGGGATTTTTCTATGATTATCAATAGATTACATACGTGACATTTCAATGATTATCAAATTTTTTTTTTTATAGTTACATCCAGGACAATTTATTTCATCTATGTGGACGAAAGAATGGAAAACATTATTACTCAGACAGTGGCGAAGTCAACGAAATTTACATACCAGAATTATCTCCGAGGTAATTGGTTAGCAATTTATGGATAATGATTATTATTATCTTTTAGAAAAAATGTTAATTCATTTCATTTGTCAGATAATGCCAACTAAAGAAAGTACATTACCAACACAACCGAAAGTTATACTCAAAGGTGATTTTTTTTATTATTTAAAATACTTTTGTTTCATTTCATTATATAATTAACCAATTTCTTCTTTTAAATACTTGATTAAGCTGTCTCACCTTTACCAACTTACATTCAAGCTTGGATTCATGATTTTGAGACAAATACACCATTAGGAATAATAAATTTGGATCGAAAAATTTTTGGATCACCAATTAGAAAAGATTTATTACAAAGAGTAATTGTATGGCAACGCGATTGTTTAAGACAGGGAACGCATTCTTCTAAGAACAGAAGTGAGGTAAGAGGAACTACTAGAAAATGGGCAGCACAAAAAGGAAGAGGAAAAGCTAGAGTTGGAACCCATCGAGCACCTCAATTTAGAGGTGGTAAGTATATAAATATATTATTTTTTTTTTATTTTATTTTTTTTTATATTTTTCATTTTAAACATTACTATAATTTTGTTGGGTAAGGTGGCGTTGCTCATGGACCCAAACCGCGTTCGCATGCTACCGATTTACCGAGAAAAGTACAACTTTTTGGTTTACGATCAGCACTTGCAACAAAATTTGCACAAAATCAACTTGTGATTGTCGACAATTTGAAGTTAAAAACACATAAAACACGTGATTTATTGTCCATATTGGCGGGTAACGCATGGGATCCTCTTTCCGCAGATAGAAAACAGGGACATTCAGTCTTGTTTTTGACTCAGAGACATATGATGAAATTAGATCTTGCATCAAGAAATTTGCAAAGAGTCCATGCTTTAACGGCAGATGAAATTTTTGAGGCTGGTGATGTTTACAATATTATGGGACATGAAATACTTATGATCGATCATGATACTTTGCGACTATTAGAAGAATTACTAAGACCTAATTAGTAATTTCTTAAATTATATTATAATCTTATTATTCAATAAATTATATCAAAAGTATTTTTAATAATTGAATTGAAAAAGGGAAAAAAACCTCTTGAATTAGAAAAAGCGAGCGTTATTTAAATAAAGTATTTTCGGCCGATAAAATATGTTTATGGATAAAATCTTTCGCTGCGTAAGCACCCTTTACATAAATAAGAAAAAAGAAAATATTATTAAAAATTGTTATAACATGCACTAATAAAATATAAGTCTTCTCATTACCTTATCATGGTAAAGCGCCCCGACGAGGGCTATCAATGCTTTTCCCGTGACACTTTCTTCCCCTGAGGGTGGTATTTCTTGTCCTTCCTCTTTTGCTTTAATCATTCTCGCCTCATTCGCCTATATAGGTATATATGAATCATGCTTGATTATTTTCTGTACTTATTTTTTTTTTTTAAAAAAAAAAAAAGATTCCGAAATCGCCAAAAAATGCTCGTCTCAAATTCTAATTAATTACTGATGAAATTTTTTTTTGATCTATAATAATTATATTACCGGAGTCCAATGCAATAAATTATTTAAACCCAAGTTTATTCCAATTCTTCCAAGCTTATTCAAATCTTTCGTGTACAACTTAATTTTGTTTCGCAAATGTTCTGGTGGAACTTTATTTATAAAATGTTCTACTATATAAAGTTGAATAACATTTTCACCTAATAAATAAAGAATGGTTATCAATTGGACCGAAATGAACATTTATTAAAAAGATTCATCAAAATTTTACCGAGAAAACCTAATCGTTCATTTGTAGGTGCATGGTGTAATTTAATTGATTTATGCGTACAAACTTGATGTATCAAATTTGAATCGGAAAATTCTATATCATTTTGTTTACAAAATCTATTGTGTTTGTCGTTCGCATGAGCCTTTTCAATTGTAAGAGGTTTAGTAACATTTTGTTTTGTATTTAATTGTCTTGCTAATTAATTTTATGAAAAAAAAATGGTAGAATGTTGAAATGAGTGAATACATAAAAAAAAGATAAATATAAAAAAAAGAAAATTTCAATACCAAAGTATGTCAAAGAATATTTCAAGGTGACTCTTGAAGAAAAAGTTTTTGTTAACATTTGAAAATAGATTATCATATCAAATATCGATATTATCAATAAAAAAAATTTTTAAAATGATCTAACCAATTTTTTTTAGTCACGTGTCACCACACGTTAATTTCGCCCTGAAAAATGGTAGCCGGATTTTATTTGCCGGGTCACATATACTTATTAGGGTGACGTTTAATTGTGACAATTATCATTTTCTTACAAAAAAAATTTTTTTTGAACTGGAGAATAGCCAAGTTTACTTGTTAGAAGCGAAGAACCAAAAGAAACGCCGGGCTTTGAAACTAAAAGTGCTCTGTTGCGTAAGTCCTGTAACTCTTTATATTGTACAGTCGCGTCACAAAATGACACCCGATCCAAATTTATATAAAGAATAGAAAATTTCAAGCCAACACACTTTATAACGAACTGACGGTTCCGTTAGAAAAAAAAAAGATCGTTATATAAATTACTATGCTTTCTATATGAACCATTAAACTTTTTATAACGAACTATTATTTAAATTTAAAAATTGTGAGTTCGTTATATCCAGTGTTCGTTATAAAGAGGTTCGTTATAACCAGTTTGACTGTACATATTAGTATTTACTAATTAATTATTTCTAAATTTTATATAATTTTAAAGCCAGTTAGTTTGTATTTTTTTAAAAAAAAGGTTTTAAATTTTAAATGCATAAACTATTTTAATTGTAATTTACAAAAGATTTTTTTCTAATGTTTAAATCCAAAAAAAAATTCATACATATAAAAATGGACAATTTCGAACTGCATATAAAAAAATGACCAGAAAATTGTGATTTCACGTGATAATCAACAATCAATATGCATTTTTTAAATTGCAATATCTCAAGAACCCGATAGTATTTTTAAATAATTTTTTTTTTATTAAAATAATATAATATTTAATTAGTTAATATATAAATTTAATATTTAGTTGAATAGCCTTTTGATTTTTTAACAGCCCTACGAGGCATGCTTTCTATAAGATTATCATAAACTGAGCTATCCATATTTGACCATTCATCCTGTAAAAAATTAAATAGCTCAGTTTCATTTTTTGGCAATAGACTTCGTTTACGGACTCTTCGCTCTAGTTCATTCT